TTGAAAAACCAGTAGCTTCTTTTAAATTGTTAAATGTTAATATTCTGAATTAAAAACAATAATAACAAATGTGAAATGACCATATACAAAGTTAGAATATACAAACAGACATTCATGATTACAAAGCTTAAAGCATTACCATCCGCTTAACCTTCACCTTTATAAAATGTCTTTAATATTTTTTTAATTTAAATGTATTTATATGTATTATTAATAAATTAATAATAACAAATTTAAAAAGTAGTATACTTATTTATATTTTTAATATAATAATAATAAGGTTTTTGTTTGCAGAAAAACCCTAATATTTTTTGTTTTTGCAGAAAAGTCCCAGTATTTTGGGTCAATTTATGAAATAGTCCTAAATTAATTTATTACCGGTTCCAACCAGACAAAAAGGATCAAAATGCAAACTTTTGCCGGTTTTTGGGACTTTTTCGTAAACAAAAATTAGTTTAGGACTAAAACATAAACCGGGCTAAAATTTTAGAACTTTATTGGAGATTTCCCTTTCATCAATAAATTATTATTATTCAATATAAAAAAACGAAAAAAAAAACAACAAGAATAAACAAAAAAAATATGAAATAAGATTTCGGCAACATGAAAAAGAAGAAGAAGAAAAAGAAGAGGTTGGAAGATGCAATACAAGTGTTGCGCCAAACAGAACACACGTGGAGGTTTTTTACTCCGAGTACTTCTAAAAAACAAACAACTACGAAATGAAAAGTGTTGTGCGTGTGTTGCGCAGCAATAACAGGTCTGAAAAGGTTTTTTCTAAAAACAAACAACACCTTATAATAGACATCATTACAATGTGTATGCTTATATTTTTTTTCCATGTGCCTTTATATGAGCTACCATATTTATTGTGTATCTATATGACTATATATAGAAATCGCTTGTGATATCAAACAAGTTATCCTTTGTTTAATCATGTCCCAATTTTAAACATAGATTTGGAAGGGAATATGAGGGGTGATATAACATAATCTGAATTTAGACCGATGTAAAACAAATTTGGAAAAGACATTGCAAATGTTATTTCATTATTTAAAATCTCTTTAGCCCTTACTTTACATACTAAAATCGAGCTAAAATTATATATGAAAAAACGAGTAACATAGGAGGAATATACATGAACATGGCCTCGAGAAACAGTCTTTCTAACAAAATAGATATCTATATCCACATGTTTTGTCCGTTGATGCTAGATATGATTCTTAGATAATTAAAGTATAATAGCATTGTCATAATACGCAATAGTATCCTCGGTGATGGGACATTGTTTTCAATGATGATATTAAGAATCCAACATGTTTCAAGGATTACATTAACAACATGGTGGTATTTCACATCGAAATTGGAGCATGAGAGTGTCAGTTGGTGTTTAGAGGATAAAGAGGTAAAGTTATCTGCTAAGAAAACACAATAGTTAAAGGTGAATGTCAGGACTTTGGGTACCAACCCCAATAGATGTCGTTGTAAGTGACTATAGTCATCATTATAGATGGTGTTAAGTGGAGGCCAAGTATACCGCAAAATCCGTCTAAGAGCATATACATGTTAATCTCGAAGATTATACATAAAATGCATACATGTTGGACGACATAAGAGATATCATTGGGATCATATTGGTAATGTTAAATATTAAAGAGCACTTTCACTTCTCCTTTATAACCTAAAGTTCCTTAATTGGTGGACTCTTATTGGCATAAAGCTTGAAATTATTATCCACATGCTTCGATGTAGTATTGTGCATCGACATATTGGCATGAATCAAAATATATTTCCTTTTTATTTTTGTTGAGAAAGGAAAAGGGGGCACAAGGGTTTTGTGTAACTTGGGTGCCTAAAATTTTACTTAAAGGACCAAATATTTCTTTGAAAAATTGTATATAATATATGCTATTTGAGACCCTCATCGGTATATAAAAAAGGGAGTTGTCAAATTACTATGAATAAACCAATCAATGGTACGAATATGCCAAACTAATGGTACCATGCCTAAGGGTCTTGTTTTAACCCATATAAGATTTATTAAAATGACACAAACTGTCAAGAAGAATGAATTTTTGTACTAAAAAAGATATGCCAAATTGGTGTATTTTGTTAGAAATAGTCAATTTAAGAAATGCTATAATTTTTGTAGGTCTATTCGTCTAAACATCTTGTCATAATCCACGCCAACCTATAAGGATAATATGTTTACCAAAATTTAAACCTTGTGTAGCTAAAAAGTAACGCTAGGCCAAAATTCAAGAGTAAAAATCCACTTGTATCGATTTATATTAACATTATTATGATTTGGTACTGGTTCATAAATATCATATTCAATAAGAGCATCATATTCATCAAGCATGACAAGTGCTAAATTATGATCATACAAGGGGGTTTATATATGAGGTAAGAATGATATAGGGCTCATGCGAAAATACAAATAATTTGTGAAAAAAAACATATGAGATTGTGTCACCTCAACCTTATATTTTGACAATAATCCATCCAAATTTTGAACAAAGTGGATTGTGAAAGCACTTATTAGGGTTGTTTATAAAATCTACAAGTTTCCCTTGGTTTGTTGTTTCTATAAGCAAAGTGGATTATGAAAGAGTAGGCTTCAGAATTGGGTTAGAAGTGGATTGGAGGTACATGTGGTGGGATGATTTGTCATAAATAGCAAGGGTTGGTAGAGGATAGACAAATGGTGGGCTATAATATTTTCAACGCTTCATGGGGAAGATGATGTGGTGGGTAATGGTAGATTATAAGACTTTTGGTTTGGTCTTTAAGAAGACTATATTTTAGGGATGTGTGTTTAGCATATGGAAACAACTAGTCATCAAATACGACATGACATTAAATTATGATGGTGTTGGTACCCATGTCGAATTTATATCGGCTATGATTAATTGGAAAACCAATGAAGGTATAAAGTGTAATAGAATAGTAATTTATGAATGGCATGTTTCAGTTTATGAGAAAAACATAAACACCTAAAATTGTGTAGTTTTAGGATAAAATATGAGTGGAGTAAGGTATGAATGCATTTTTAGCTAGGATATCATGGGTATATGTTTCCATTTGAATAGGAAATAGCCAAAAATGAAGGAGGGATGTGAGCGTGTAAGAGGAGAGTCAATGTCATTTTATCAAGGATTTGAAGTTTTAGTATGGCTTTTTAGTTTTGAGATGAAATACTTAGTCACTAAAAATGAAAATGGCTAGATACCGTATTAAGAACACATATTCTAAAAAAATAATTCCATGTTTTTTACCATCATCACATTGGAACTTTAATGGTGTAACTAGTGGGTTTTGAGCATAACAAACAAAAACATATGTATGCATGCAACTCTAATTCTTTATCTATGTTTTTTCCTAATTGAACATACAACTTTTGAACATCAAATGGAAAACCCTAAGACTACTAGTATATTTTCAAAATCAACAACTAGGGTTAAGAAAAACATACCTTAACTGTTATATAGTAATAACAATGAATCCAAGTCTTCTTGAAACTTTGAGAACAAGCGTCACAAGTGTCACGCCTCTAGTGGTTCACGCCAAGCAATAGGATGAGAGAGGAGAGAGGAGAAGAGGCTTGAGAATTTCGGCTATCCTTCTAAGGTTTTCAGTGGCCGAAATTCCTAAGGGGTAGAGGCCTATTTATAGTGCAGATAGGATGCCTTAGATAACCCTAATTTGAATATAATATTATTAATTCAAATTGGTAATTATCCAACTCCTTATTTATCCACATGGGATAATCTAGAAACCTTAGATTATCCATATAGAAACCATCCACCTCCTTCCCTAGGAAGGTTGTAGAACCTCTTGCTCAACCATTGAAAACTTGCACTTTACCCCCCTGCACTTTTAATTAATACTTATAATCCCAAAATTGATTCCAAATAATTTCTAAAATATTAATTAAATATTGATATTTCTAATTAATATGTTATTCTCATAATATATTAACAAATTATTCATTTCAATTTTTTAATCAAATAATAAATTCAACATCTTTCTCCAAAAGTCATTATGTCTAGTTGCTAGTTATGAGGGCAACCCAAAAGGACTGTGCTACTATCAATTCAAGCATATACCAATTATAGTTATGGGCTTAGACACCTAATCCAACATTCTCCCACTTGGATAAGTCTAGTAACTATAGTTGCTAGTATAACTTCTAAACTGATTAGCAAATTATAGCTCTCAAAGTTGTTGTCAAACTCTCAGTTCTGTGTCCTAAGATAAGTGATCATATAATCCTCCATTCTGCAAGATATCATGTGGATAAACAAGATTGGAAAGAATCAATCTCATTATCCAATACTTTGTTTCCCAATTTCCGATTTGTAATGACAAAAAACTACTAATCGAACATATCAATTTAGTCTTGGTCGGATCCAACACTATAAGTCAACACCAAATCATCGAGGGTCCCAAGATATCGTTTTTCCTGTTAGGACAAAAGGAACAGATAAGCTTTGACTTATATGATTGTGCTATTTACTCACCAAATCATGCACAACAATGTGTTTTAGGAGCATTCTCTCATTCTTGTGCGAAAATTGGCGTTCAATATGAGGTATCCTGGAACTTTCATTTTGAGAATTTTCTTTAAGATGATTCCATATGATCTATACGGTAACATCGGCTTCAAAAATGGTATGTAATGTATCGGTAAATATGGTTCCATATATACATTGAAGCACAACATCATCTAATATAACTATAGGGCTTTGTTGGTAGTCGAGTCATGGGGAGAGATTAAATTATCTCATGCTTGATATGGTCTAGTATTGGTTGTGAAAAGTTCACTCAAAGGGCATATTTAACTTTCTAATTTAGAGATGATTGGGATGATGTATTTATGTTGACAACGATGAGAGATGGGTGGAATAAAGTTGTTTTAGGTTGATCAGTATTAGGCAAATGATCATTGGTATTGGATAGATCCATGAAAAGAGGGAGAACATATAGATGGAAGGAGGATGATGAAATTGAGAAGTTTGAAAGAAGAAATCAAGGTACTCTTATGCCATGTAAAAAAATAATCTATCCATATCATTTTTCCATTTCATCAAATATTTATAGGGATACATAAGATGTTTACAAGAAAACTCCATCCAATAATTTTAGATTTTATAAATTTAATAGTTCAAAGCAAAAAAAAAAAAAAAAAAAAAAAAAAAAAAAAAAACCTATCTTAAATTGTGAAAATTCTTTTTTTTCATATGTACATGTAGTTTGAGAATAATAATAATAATAATAATAATAATAATAATAATAATAATTTCTTGATCTTTTTACGCTTACTTAATATTTGAATAATAAATTGTGTCTACTTACCGTTGTCTAAGGGTTGCATTCCAAAACATATTGTTAATTTTAGTATTAATCGTTTGGTATAACTGGGATTAACTGAAGACAAGCAAAGTTCAGCTTTAGCTACAATATGAGTTTGGAAGTGCGGAGTGTACGCTCGTATACGTTAAAGTGACATCGGGAACACAGAGGTTCAGGAACAACGCCCTTGCTAGGGTTTCAAGAGGTAGATCCATTGACGGTTTATGTATCCATTTGTTACTTTCCCGCCAAAACCTAACCATTGCGTAAGTTCCCAACAAATACAACTTTTTGCGGCCAAAAAATTGAAAATAACTATTTATCTTTGTATAAATTCATGTTTTTAAGTTTTTGCAAAGTAACATCTTCTTGACATAAAGTTACTCTATATAGTTGTCTCCGAGAAAATTAGATAAAAGCAAAAGTATTATGTGTTTTGATTTTGGGTTTTTGCTTGAAATCCAGATGTGTTTTTTTAATTATCTTAAATCCGATTTCATGAACCTAAAATAATAAGGTCGAAATCACAATTTTTAGATTATAATTTGATACAAAATGTCAAAAATTATCCATATTATTATTATTATTATTATTATTATTATTATTATTATTATTATGTAGGTATTTTCTAACAAAACTAATCAATTTTTTGAGGAATGCAAGTGCATGTCCTAAAAAAATTCAGTGATTTCATCTACTTTTGCTAACAGTTTGACCAGGAGTTATTTTGCTTATTAATAATCACAATAAAATATTAATAGCTTTTATAGCTTTTCAATTTTATATTAATTAAATATTTATGTTGAAAGATAGAAAAGCAATACGTTTATTTTTCTACTATATTTCTACTCTACGCCCACATTTCCTTCTTTCTCTTCACTTCTTCTATTAACTCCCTCACACCTCCTTTCTATCTTTGCTTCTTATCTCTCTTTCAAATCCTTAATGGAAGATAAAACCCCCTACAACCCTTGATTCATTTCTTAAATCTTCAATCTTTTTCGATTCTTTTCTGATCTGATTCCCCAGTTCTTCATATTCAGATCGGACCATTTAATCTTTGACGCATAACATAACTTATCACATACCCTTCATTTCTCTACATCAAAAAATCTGCCTCATAGCAAACCCATCATCTTTTTTATGGGTTTTTTAATGTTTCTTTAATCAATCATACAATCAAATCGTATTTCAGAAATGGGAGTCTGTTCAAAGATTCAAATGGTGGTGGTTTCATATCGGTTCATCTCCATCTGGTATGTGTTCTCTCTTTCCTTCTTATCTTCTGTTATGTTCTTAGATTGATTAAAGATTCAATCTTTATATGGTTTTCATGTCGCTCTGATTGTGTCGTTTTAATTGATTAGAGGTGGAGTGTTTAGGTTAAATCCAGTTCTGTTTTCTTTGATTTTAGCTGTTACAGTTGTGATAATCTTGATAGTTTCACGGGGTTTTAATGATAGCGATGACAATCAAATTTTTACTCGAAAAGATTCAAACTTAAGACTTCTCGTACTAAGATTTGACTTAGATTTGTTTATGTTTCTCATCTCCAAAATGTTCTTGGTCTAATAAATTCCTTATAGTTTAAAGTAACACCGAATAAAGTTCTCATCAATTTCAAAGCTCATTTTTCATCAATCAAATGTTTGACTTTTCTATGGAAGAGTTAGCATTTGCTTATCGACTTGGTTGAATCTTTGTTGACCTTAAATTTTCCGAATCCGGGATTCAGATTACCACTCGAGTCTAGCCACTGGGTTGACTCAGTTTTAGTTCACTTATAGTTGTTCTAACTTTGGCAAAGGTTTAGAATGAAGAACATCAAGATTTGTACTTTTATGATTAATGTCCTACTAAAGATTTGTCCTTGATCCTTGTTGTCACCTTTTTACAATGATTTCTTGATTTCAAGTAGTAATTTTTGTGTTAGTTAAGCTTGTCATACTTCAAAAAAAAAAAAAAAAAAGGTACAACATCCAGACTTTATGATGAAATCCAAGAAAGAATATGATATACTTGTCACTTGTCACATAAGTTGTACTTTCATGATGTGAATTTATTACATTTAGTCTATCTTTGTTACACGAGACATGACTGGACAACCTTTCCAAGGCTATTTTTATCAGTCCAATGCATGTCAAACGCAGTACAAGATTATCTGTCCTGTCAATATATTTTCTAGTTTCTAATGGATGTCATCTTTTATATATTTTTGTTGCAGAAATTACGAGGAACAAGTTGGATTATTTTGAGTGTTTGTAAAATGGGTAGAGGAAGAGGAAAAGCAAAGAAAAGTTCAATCATGGCTCGTGAGGACGGAAGTGGGGAAGAAGAAAAGATGCCAGTTAAGCGAAGAGGAAGACCGACAAAAGCACAGAAAGAAAATAATGAAGAAGAAGAAGAAGCGGAAAAGATGGATTATGAAAACAAAGACACAAAAGTCGAATCTTCATTGGAGAATGGAAGCAAGAGAAAGAAACAATCTCTAGAGAATGAAGAAGAAAGCATGGAAATGGTGAAAGATGAAGAAAATGGTGATGTGTTAACAAAATCTGCGGGGTTTAGACATAATGGAAGCAGGCGGAAAAACAAGCCACGCAGGGCGGCAGAAGTTGGTGTCAGTGCATGTCAAGTTTGCAGTTGGGTGGCGCTCAAAAGCTGATGAGGGGTTTTGGTTTTGGTTTTGGTTTTGGTTTCGGATTATTATATCATAAAGGCTTTTATTTTCTTGTCGTATTTTATCAATCAACTTTTGTAATGCTTAGATATATATATGTCTTTTTGCTATAGACTTTGATTTATATTGAGAATTTTTGAACAAGGTTTATAATAATATCAACCAAGTTTTGGAAAAATTGTATTCTTCTTTTTCGTAGAGAGATATCGACTCTTATTGTTCTAACGATTTCTGAGCAAACATGTACCCATAGTTATTATGTAAACAAAATGTAAACATGTACGAGGAGATATAATCTTTGTATCTAGTAAAGAAAGTGATTTTCAAGCTACATTAGAAGTTTTGGAAGTTTAGTAAATCATGGGATATAATCCAAAATCAAAAATCGTAATGCCATTTCTTCACATTATTCCAAAATAGCTAGTTGCTCAAAGTTATTGAACACTATACACATTTTCGGTGAGATATGAATTTGGTTTATTATTAAAAAGTAATGTTATACTATTTTTTACTAGACAAGGTACCACTACTTGATACTTTGTCTCATGTAAGGTCTTGTATGTTCATATTGTACTTTATATTATAAAGAGTAGAAAATAGATTACATAAATCGTCCTATAATTTAGGGTAATATGAAAGTTTAGTTTTTTTTTTTTTTTTTGAATCGTACGATCTTTATACTTTAGTTTGTTGTGTATTTCGTCTTTCACGTAAATGGTGTTAAGTTTATGTTGTTAACCCATGGTAGAATTACAAATTTACCATCGGTTAATAATAATTTTTAATTATTATTAGAGTAAAAGTATAATTTTGGTCCATGGACATATATGTATTTTTGATTCCAAGTTCTAAAAACTTGATGTGGTTTGTCCTTATGGTTTTAAAATCCATCAAGACGGTCTTAACCGGTTACCTTTAAGCCTTTTGCATTAAAAACCTGCAAATAACCATTTTACCCCTAATTTGCAATTTTATTTTTTATTTACCATTTTTAAGAATTAACCGCCCACCGCTTCTACTTACATATGCCACCATAAAATTAAAATCAAAGGTGCACCCCACCATATTTTCTTCCATCGAATCTATCTATCTCTTATAAATGAGATCATTCAAAATCATATGATTAGAGATATTTTGTTTTTCTCAAACCATATTGATTTGAAACCCAAATAATATTTTATTTTCCTTAATTAATTGCATTTATAATATTTATAAATTTCCAATAAGTTTTTGCATTCTCTCAACATATATGTAACTAGATGAGTATATTTTTCTTACAAAAAATCGTAATGTTGTTGAAAGTATTGTGATTTTAAAGGCTTTCATGTAGTTCAAGCGTTTATGCTTTAAATATTAGTAGTATTTCTTATAAAAACTTTTCATGTAGCTCAAGTGTTTACGATCTAAATACAAAGAGTTTGAGAAATGAGTTATGTTAGATCAATGGTAATTGTAATATAATTATTTCTTTCAACCAACAAAAATGAAAATTTTCTATTCTTTCTTTATATTCAGTTTCTAATGTGATCTTTATATATGATTTGTGTGTATTACTCAATCTTGAATGTAAGTCTCCAAACATCAATGTTTTACTTGAAACATCTTTATGATTCGTCTTTGTCAAAACAAAATGATTGTAGGTTAGTGAATAATTGTCGTCAAGTTTTTATGGTTAAATGGTGTCAAAGGAATAAAGAAAGAGTCAGAAAACGAATATAATTTAATTTTTTTTTTGTTTAAGCAGAGTAAACAGATGTGAGTTTTTTTTTCTTTGGATTTAAATGTATATTTATATAATATTTTTATTTATATATTCAATCATCTAATTGTCTTATTTATTTCTTTGTATTTTTCTACTAAATTATGATGTGTACAAAAGTATATACTAGTTTTAAATTTCTAACCTAACTAACTTAACTAACTAATATGCACTTAGGCAGTGTACCTAGTCGGATTGTAGTGTAGTTTAAGTAAGTTAGGGTCGAACACAGGGAACAATTTTAATTAATTAATCTACCTACTATTAAGTTAACCTAAAATTCTAGCAAAGTAATGGTTTTTATCTAATTTTGCAAGTTTAGATAAACTTAATTTATTAACAACTATTCAATCAAATTATAAAAAACACTTCTATTAGTTTGAATCCGCATTCCCTCAATGGTTTAAATATTAATTATGTCAATTCCCGTTGGTTACCAATTAAAATATTATTAGCAATTCAATTCCAAATTTACGAATATTCAATTAATTCACGTAGATCTATGCATGGTCACACATAATTTAACACAAAATCAATTACTAGGTAAAATTGGAGCTATGTAAGATTGAGTTAACAAACACAATTATGGTCATAATGCGAGTTCTCTAGCACAGCTAAATTCAATAGTTAAATTATTTATCTAAGATTGGTTTGATCTTAGCTCAAATAATCTAATGTTCACTAAATTACTAGGTATTCAAATTCATGCAGATTAATGATCACTAACTACACAGAATAAGAGTTTAAAGCAATCTAGTATCAAATTAAGCATGTTAGGTATAATCAATCAAACACAAGACATTAACCAATAAGAAAAGTCTAAGTTATTATAAACAAACCATGAGTTTCAGCTTCATCTAGCTAACAGAAGCAGCTAGATTTAGCTACTTATACTAACAAATAAACTAACACAAGTCATAACCAAAAACATTGTAAATCACCAAAACTAAAAAGTAAATATGAACTTCTTCTTCTTCCTTGGTATTAAAACCAATTTCCTAGCCTTCTAACCCTCTTATTTCGACTTCTGTAAACCTTTTCTAACCACCCAACCCCCTAAAAGTCGTAGGGATCAAGGATATATATAATTTTCGAAATAACTCTACTCATGTCGTGAGCATAGGGGTCTCACGTCTTGAGTCCAGTAATAATTTGTATCCAACATGAACTCTTGCTTTGCGATGTTTATCTTCTAGAATGTTCGAGCTCACGTCATGAGCATTAACTCCCATGAGCATTAACTCTTCACGTCTTGAATATGTTTTTTGCTGGATTTTTCATCTTTTAACCTCCAAAGTTCCAACATTTACGCTTTTAGTCATTTTTCTTTAAGATGTCTTCTTTTGGTTATAAAATACAATTTAACATTATAAGTATCATTTATCTACACAAATAACAAAAATATTAATCAAAATTTAAATAAATAGTACCTAAAAATATGTATAAATATAGCAATATCAGGTTATCCTTAATAACGTATTTACAAGACAATATTTAAAAGATAATATCATTTTTAACATCGGATATGTAATTATGATTAACTTATGTTGCTATGTTCTTCATGTGAAAGTGTTTTTCCATCTTACTACGATAATAATTAAATATGACATTTACAAAAATATATAGTATATATGATTTGTTTCATGTATATATCCACCTATTTATGTTATAATATTAAAATTAAATATCTTTATGTTTAAGAATTGAAGGGATTAAAATCTATCAAAAAACAATTATTTAGATAATAATAATAATAATAATAATAATAATAATAATAATAATAATAATATTTTATTTCCAAACAACACATTCATTTGAAATTTTCACTATAACTCAAAAAATTTCTAATTTATGTATATTTATTACTTACAACTCAAGAGTTTTTAACTTATGGTTATTAATTAGTAATCATTAATAAATTTTTATTTCTATTTCATTTATAATATTGTAAAGTTTTGCTAATTAACAATATTCATGTGTTTGAAAAGATCTGTGATTCAAATATGAAGAGTTAATACAAATTTTATAATCAAATGTTATAATAGATGTTTTATTATTTTTTATAGTACTAAAAGTTGTACTGTTTATTTTTTTCATATATTTTGTTATTCATTATATATAGATCAATATGCGTTTGATATATAATTTACACAATTTTGAACGGTTTATAAAATTATAAAATAATAATATACATCACAATGACTTGAAATTTAAAATTATAATATTTAATAAAAGTAATATATTAACTATAGGTTTGTCTTTATACTAACATTGGCTTTCAAAATAAAAATATTAAATAATAATTTGGTAAAAATTATTATTTCAACTGTATAATTGTATTCCTGTGCAACGCGTCAAGATTTGCCTAGTACCACCATAAAATTAGAAGTTGTTATTAATAGATTCAAAACAAATGAAAATATACATTAAAATCAGAAACCCAAAATATCATATTCAAAATGAATAGTGTTGTAATTCAAAATCAAAAACAAAACACAAACATTTTAATGCTAATCTAACTTATATCTTTAAGTTTCTCGGTCAATTCCTATTCCGTTAACTTCTTATCTTTTTGACAAAATTGCAAAAATGGTCCTGTTGGATGGCAAAATTTTGTGGTTTTGATCCAAAAAATTTTAATGGTGCACTAATGGTTCAAAATTGGATCTTTTTAGTGATTTTGGTCCCTATTAACTTAAAAAGACTATTATACCCTCACATTTATTTTTTTCCTATATTTATTTTAATATTTTTAATTAATTAAAAAAATCTCACCCACCCGCACCCGCCCCCATCTGAGTTTGTCAAGAACATCATATAAACATAAACAAATAGTGAAGAACATTTGTGTCTTCATAAACACATACACACATAAGATTTTATGGGCTATTCTAAAAACATATACCCACATCATATTTTTTGGCTTCTTCAATACACACACGTATGAACATACATATTCAGGAACAACACACATCAGTGGAGGAGTTTTCCAGATTGATGCTAGGATTTTTATGAATTCCACCACTTTCCACCAACACCTCGATCTCAACCTAGAAATCACCAGTCGATGGCAGGTTCTCGGGTTTTAAATAAGAGGAATTCTCCAGATCGGCACTAGGGTTAAGGCTTCCGACGGTGGCGGTGGTAGCTTTGATATATGAAAAATGAAGATATCATCACAATCATCTTTTGATTACCCCTAATCTCAAAACTTCACACAGAGATCATCATTTTTTCCTGGTTTCATCGATTTCAGATTATCAATTTCGCCGGAAGGAACATCAATTTTTTCTGATGTAAATCTAATTTGTTCCTGTTCACATGGGACTTTTCTTTCCCATTCTTGTTCAAGGCAACCATTCAAAATGGTATATGAGAGAACTATACACATACGCTTGTATCTTATCTTCACTAATCCA